TATATATGTTATATGTAGTTAAATATGCGTAGATTGTATATGTGTGTATTAGAGTTGTAGTTTTGTTTTGTTTTCGGATTTTGTTGTAGACTTTATAAGTTGAAATTCCAAATATTATATGTAATTGAATTATTCAAACTGCATCGAATAACGTAATTAAACATTTGTCTGCTAACTGCGCTTACACTAACTTTAAAGACGATGACACTCTTACTCGCATACATAAACATAATTGTCTGGTTAATAAGTTGCTTATGGGTGTGGATTGTGTTTGTGTCCTTTTACTTTGTGGTTGCCAAGACGTCTTAAATGTTGTACATTGTTACCAAACGTTCGGCCAGATTTGGCGGGAATTGCTCAACAAACCGACGCCAATTTTCTTCACCTACTTGTGTCTTAAACCCATGTAGTATCTATCGAATGAAAGAAAGGAGTTAGAAAACCATTTCATATTAGCAGTCATCACATACTTTTTGTATCATCTGATGCAGATCCTGTGGCGGATTAACCCATGAGGCAATCGCATCGCAGAAGAATATGAAGTCAGGCACAACGCCAGCTGGATTCACGGTTATCATGTGGCACATGCCACGGAAGGCCGAGTCCTTTTCGTCATTATCTCGTATGTGACGCAACGATGTGCACCTGTTTAGGTAATGGGGTTCAGAGTTATAATATTAGAGTATCACATCAATAAGCTGAGCATGCCACAGGCAAACACTCATAGGTAAGCAAATGTTAAGGAATCGAAAAAGAAATATGGAAGGAACAGCACAAAAGAAATTTATATATATATTACAGAAGATCAGAAAAATGTACTGAAACTTGAATATTCTGTTGTGTGTTCTGAATTTCTTTTGTAAAGCTCAATTTAAAAGTGTAGTTAGGAAAAGTAAATGCAATAACTATAATATATATAATAATGATAAGGGTAAGGATAAGAAACTATATTTGATAAATGTGTTACACACCACTGTCGTACAAATTCGGGCAAATAAGGAGCCACTTCAACTGGGCACACATAACCTAGACGACCGATTGTTATTGCTAAAAGAACAGAAAAATATAAATAAATCAACTGAATAAATTATATTACATTTATTGCTTGATTGCGCATGTTCTTAATTGATTGATTGGAGACGCGCTTCAATTAATTACATACAGCAATAAGTTTGAAACATTCACATTGACAAATCGACAATACAATGAAGTATGTGTTATGCATGTTTTTCATATTGTTATTATTATGATTTCGTATTTCTTGGGTTTTTGCAGTTGACGACAATGCGTCGTCACATGCAACGGCAAATGATATTAGAAACAAATGTTCAGTCAGCACACATACTTATGTTCAGACACATACATACACATACAAATATTTGCATACTGCTGATGTATATTAATATATATATACACATATGATTTGTATGTGTATACATGTATGCATATACATATCATTCACAGAATGCTTTTCTGAACATTCACTCACCTGTATTCTCCAGCAGCGTTTTGGGCGTATTGGGGCGATTGATGATGACAAAGAGGTCGGTCAGTACAAGATGTATGTACTGTTTGGTTTCCTCACCTAGATAAGAGAAACCATTCGTATATATATATAATACAAATCTGCTTATAGTCATAATAATAGTACTACTTACCCAATTTCATGCATATTTCGCCAATAGCCCATGTTGCATTGTTGCATACCGAAATAAAATCGGGATTTAGATTTTGACCCAATATGGGGAAGAACTCGCCCATAAACGGATGCACATGTGGGAAACAGGCCTTGGTCAAATCACCGAGCAGTGCAAATGAGGATTGACGCACCTGCACAAAAATCAACAACAAAAATTCAGCAATGCATTACAAGCTAACCTAACCGAAGTAAACGAACCTCCGGCAGAACGTCCTGCATGCATTGATAGAGCAAATGCATTATGTTACTGTTGGACACCAACGTCTCAATGTGCCGATCCAAGCCCTCTGCCAGACCGGAGAGTAAGTCCAACGCGACAATCATGCGCTCCTTGTCGGGATGATCGAATGAGTGATTCTGTTTGCAAAGCTGCGAAAAGAGAAATTCATATGTATCCATGCTCAAATACCCAATTGTGATCATCACCTACCATTTCCTGATTAATTGTCTGCTCAATTAGCGATATGCATCTCCTATAGACGGGGTCGCAATATGGCAGAAAGCCCGATTGCAGCGCAGTTGCGATGCTGGACAGGCATTCGAGCAATGGGAATAGGTCTTTGTCGTCGTCTTTAAGCAAATTCCATTTGTCAATTAGTGGCGGCATTAATATATCAATATACTGTGGTTTGTTCAAATGATGACCAACTGAGTCAGCCAACGTGCCCACGGCATCGTACAAGATCAATAGATTCTTGTGCTGATACTTGGAGAAGGCGAAAACAAGGGTTTTCAGTATATATTCTAAATAGGGCACCAGTTCAGTGCACGCCTCCTCTTCGAGCGTGGCAAACGCCGAGCACGCAGCCTCCTGCACGCGCTTGTTTGAATCCAGTATGCGTTTGAGCAGCTCCTCCATTAGTGGCTTTAGGTATTGATCATGTGGCTGATTGACCACCCAGTTGGCATAGCGGGACAGAGTCCAACAGGTAATAGAGCGCACGAGTGCCTTCTTGTCGGACAAGCAGCTAATCAGATATGGTATTAATTCGGGTAAATGTTGGATCATGCCTTGCATGCAACCCTCGGCTATGGCACCCAGAGCAAGCACGCCGCTCTCCTTAACGACCCACTCTTGATGAAAGAGCGTGTCCTTCAGTATCGGCAGCACAATGGGCAGGCAGTCCTCACGAAATACATTCGCCAGGACATCCAGAGCGGCCGCACTGCACTTGCGCAAATTCCATTCAGATAGAGAGCTATCGTCGTCTAAACCATCATCGAATTCATCATCATCATCGTCGCCACCAGATGCCTGACTGACCTCGCCGCTTTTGATGGTGTGTGTGCGTGATTTGTGGAATCGAGGACGTATATCCTCTTCGCGATCCGGCTCCATATCATCCTCCTCTACGTTGCCCTTAAGCAATATAATATCGATCTCCGAGTATCGCATGCCACGCACCAAAATAGGCGCAAGCTGCGGCAAATAGGGTGCCAATACATCCTTGCAAATACTTTGTTCAGCCAGCGACAGCCAAAACTCGGACGCTTCAAGGGCTACGCCCTCATCAGAGTCCTGTGTACGCAGCAGCATGTACTAAGCGAACAAAATAAGAAAAAGACAATAGTGTAACGACCGACTTTCAATTTTTGATTTCTGAACCACAATCCTAGTTACATACCTCAATGATCTGCGACATGTGTGGCATCAACCTGTCCATTCGCACTTCGAGCAGCATGACCAGACCATGACAGACATTCTTTCGCACCTCATGATCCTCATCCGAAGACAGATTAAACAGATTCTCGATAAACGCGTCGATGTGCAGCATCAGCGCCTGTGACCGGTTGATAATGAATTGATTGATGCAGGCAATTGCATGGGACCGTATCTTGGGGCTGTTATGTTTAAAGTATTGCAAGAATTTTGGTATCATAACGTTGAGCGGCCTATTTAGCACAGCAGAGTCTAAGATCTCAGCCGAATCCTCGCAGATCTTTTGAAGAGCACTGAACGCACCCTCGCACACATTATAGTCCTGGCTATCGAGCATGTCGCACAGCGTCGGCAACAGCTGTGGCCAATTCTGCAAGCCTCCATTGCTGGCTATAGTTGTGATCAGAATTCCAACGGTAGCCCGTATCAGGGGTGATGCATCGCCCACAGCTTGCAGGCATTCGTGTTTGATGTACTCAACAATCTCCGGCTGCAAGTTGCTGCCGTGCATGCGAATGTTGTTCTTTAGTATTAAGCCACTTAGCGACCGTGTGGGTTCATCTTCCGTATTTAGTTTCGTCAGCACATATATCAAATAGTTGTTGAAGTCTGGATATCGGTTGAAGTCCTCCAGTTTCTAATGAAAACATACTTAGTTACTCGAACCTTTATTTGCTTATATATATATAAATATATTATACATATCTACATATATACATATAGATAGCTTACGATTTGGACTGCCATTTGAGTCGCTGTGTCTGGGGATTGAGATTCCTTTAAGATCGCAATGATCTGCTGAAGACCTTCTGGTTGCGGTTCCCACGTCATTTTGATGCCGTTAATGTGCGATGCTGTTGCGACGTGCAAAATAATTAGATATACTGTCTAAATCAACCCCACCCATTCTAAGCGAGTTGAACGCCCTCTTAAAGGGTAGTACGAGGAACTTTGTCCGAGGCCATCTCTCTATATACACACACACACCCACAAACGTATACATACACACACACGCACACTCAGGTACTCACTCTTGCACGCACACACACTCAGTTATACAGACAGCGTGAAAAAAAACACATAATGTAATAACTACTTAAGGCTTGTTAGCTGCCGCCATGTTCTTTGTAGTCGTTAAGCACTGCCAAGATTTGGCTTTCGCTTCGCACTGATTGACCAATTAGAACTTACCTTCAATAGTGTTGGGTGTGAATTAAAGCTAATTTAGCTGGATACACTTGATAAGCCCCTAAATTTTCTCTTTTTCACTTTTCTGCCAGATGAAATTTTTTATGGTGATTAAGTGTGACCAACTTAGTGACGAAGAGCATTCGTTTAGGGTTACATTCGCATCTATTCCGAGTACTGTAAAACAGCGCCTATCTATTTTGAATGAAATGTTAAAGTAACGATGACAGCTGTAATAGATAGTTTTTAAATTTGAAGCATAGTTTTCAAAGTTTGCCTTGGGTATTCTAATATTTTATATAAATGTTCACAAAAAAATATCTACACTCAATACAAAAAATGGCAACATTTCTAACGAAAATACTAGAATTCACGCTGTTAATAGCATGATGATTGCTGTGTTAATAACACTTCTATGTTATGTTAACTAACACAATGTAATTGCTTAACATAATTTAATCACTATTTGTTTGGGTTTGAGGCCAGACAGACGGGCCAATAAATTTTAAACAAAGGACCACGTTTCAGGACATTCATCCCGAGGTCAACAAGCAGCAGACTCAAGCCAGACGGTTAAGTGAAAGTTTTTCTGTTGCCAGTCGCATTTCAAGAGCAGCAGCGACCAGACCATGAATAAGCGCAACAACGTGAGTGAATTGCAGACACAAAGAAATAATTGAGATACAATATATAAATTAACAATTATTACAGATACGGCTGCCGCCGGAGGTGAATCGGCTGCTGTATGTGCGTAATTTGCCATACAAAATCACATCAGACGAAATGTACGATATATTTGGCAAATTTGGTGCAATTCGTCAAATACGCGTGTAAGCAAATTGACTGCAAATTAACTTCAATTAATTAAACTAATTAATTACAATTGCATCTGTACATTCACAGTGGCAATACGCCGGAGACACGCGGCACTGCGTTCGTTGTCTACGAAGATATTTTCGATGCCAAAAATGCATGCGACCATCTGTCCGGCTTCAATGTGTGTAATCGCTACCTCGTCGTCCTCTACTACCAGTCCAACAAGGCCTTCAAGCGTGTGGACGTGGACAAGAAACAAGAGGAGCTCAACAACATCAAGTCCAAGTACAATTTGAAGACGCCGGAGGCATCCTAAGATCATAAGAATGCTATGGAGTATTTGCATGCAGTAAATGGTTCATTGAACTCTTTCCAATTTAATACAATTTTACCAATGCTCAAAAACTGCTTTATAACGAAAATTTGCTAAACTATTTGTCCGAAGATTTTAACAGTTTTTCTATCATTTTTATATCAAACATAAGACATCATCATCATCATTCATCATCACGTATCATGCCGGCTTTTGCGAGCTCGATGAAAAGTATTTAACTATTTGAGCTCGCATCAGTTGGAAAATCCACAAAACGCATTTAAAAACACATCTCATAAAAATAACAAGCAAGAAAAAGTAAAGACAAAAAAAATTGAAAAACTGAGATTATATGTAGTTTTCATTTATATTTATTTTGCACTTAACTAGCAGTTAAATATTAACCAACAATAACATCTTCCATGTCAAATGGAATGTGGAAGCTCAGCTGGGCAGATCTATTTCTTCCGTGGTCCGAGTCTTTTCAGCAGCAGCGGCTGCCGCCGCTTTATACTGTTCGTAGGTGTTTTGTTGCTTCTCCAGCTCTCGCTGCTTGGCCAACTCCTGCAGCTCTTCTTTGGCTGCTACGGCGATCTGTTGCCGCAGCGCCTCAACCTTGCGACGATTCTCGCATCTCTGCAACTCCTTTTGTCGAAACTTTTCTGTAATTTGCTTTGGACGCTTTGCCGGCTTCAGTGGTTTCTGTTCGTGCACCTTTTGATGGCGGATCAGAGCAGCCTCCTGCCGAAAATGGGTGTCACAGGTCGGGCAGGCATACGGCTTTTCGCCTGTGTGTATCCACTCGTGCTGCTTGAGAGACTGCGAGTTGGCGAAGCGACGTGCGCAGAAGCGGCACTCAAAGTCTTTCACCTTCTCATGGACGCTCTTATAATGCCGCTTCATATTGCCCAAATTGTTGAAGCCCTGATTGCAGTCCGGGCAGAAGTGCATGCCCTCCTTCTGCACTAAGTTGATGCGCGTTGGCGTATTGGAGGGCACTAGGACAGCGGGAATGGGATTCACTACAGTCCCTGCCAACTGCGAGATGTCCACGCGCTCAACTCGCCTAGGATCTCTCGGTATGGTAGCCACGGATTCGGCACAGACCTTCAATAGCTGATCAGCTGCATTGGCATCATCTTTGCCCTGAGATTCAGTACATCTCTGTTCAGCTGTGGGACTGCTGAGCTCCACCTGACGCTGACGATACGTTTCGATGGCACGGTCTACACTCTTCTCATGGATCTTCAGATGCTTGGTCAAGCTCTCAGTGTACAAGAATTTCTTGCCACACACCTTGCACTCGCAACGCTTCTCGCCCGTGTGGGTCATCTCGTGGATTTTGCATGCATGCGATTTGCCAAAGGTCTTGCCACAATACTGGCACGCATAATTTCTGATCTTCTCGTGCACAATCTTTACATGGTTGTCCAGCGCCCGCTTTGTGTGTGTCGCATGGTCGCAGATCTGGCACTTGAACATCTTCTCTTGTGTGTGGGTGAGAATATGTTTGCTCCACTCCTGCCGAGTTGTTTTGCCCACACCACAGTAGGGACACACATAGTTCTTGATGCCGGCGTGTCGCAGCAGATGATTTTTCAAAGCGCTGTTGATGTGGAAGCCCTTGCCGCAAATATTGCAGGGATAGGGGAGCTGCTGTCCGGTGTGCTTATACATATGCTTCTTAAGGGCCACTGGGCAACGAAATTTCATACCGCACTCCCTGCATGGCTGCTCCGCCCGTGGCGCATTCGCCCGCGACATATTATGCACCTTCTTCAGGTGAATTGTTAGCAGTCGCATGCGCGGAAATACTAGCTTACAGCCCTCCACGGTGCAAGGAATCTCAGCGGCACTCTTTGTGTGAGCATAATCCACGTGCAGACGCAATGCGGCAGCAGTCGTAAAGCCCTTCTGGCACTGCTCTACATGGCACTGAAAGGGCAAAAGTTCGTTGTGGTGTTTCATATGCTCATCGTAATTGACTTGCTTCTTGAATTTCTGCTGGCAGACGTGACAGGTAATGATGCGGCGGAGATGCCGTTCGTTAGCAGGAATACGCTTTCGTTTTGCTTTGCAATTGGTCATTTTCTCACTGGTTGCTTCACTGTCTACTTCGCCGTTCTGATCGAGCAGGCGGTGTGCCAAAGGTACATCATCCTCGCTGAGGCTGCACTCGGATGAATAGTCACTTAAGATATGTTTTAGGTCAGTTGCATCTTCGGCGTCTCTGTCTACATTCTCTAGCATTTTAAATACATCCTCTTCATTGTCGATCAACTCTAATTTGTGGCTTAACGGATCATATTCATTATTTGCCTGCTCATCCTTGGCCAACAGTTCATCCTCGTTGCTGCTCACCGGCAGCGGCTCTAATATATCAATCGGATTTGCAATCACAATAAGTTTACTGGCTACCATTTCCTTAAAGCGCTGCACCGAGGACACACAGAGCTTCTGGAAATCATGGAGGTCGTTTACTCTGGTATAACAGCTGGAGCAGAGATTCCTTGGATAACCGTCTTGGGGATCCAACAGCAAGGACGTGCATACTGTGAAAGTCTTGGCAAGATCTGGCAATAAGAATAGGTCATACCCAGTACTATCGATATATTCTAGGCAAGCTCGGCATATTGAATGAACAGAGTACGGTGTACTTGTACTCATTCCAGAAAATCACAAAATCAATGGGAACTTCCAATTCGACTTGAACAAGTATTTAAAGCGTTGTTTGCAGTGATGGACGAAAACAAAAACGAGCAACAACAACACAATAGTATCGATATCCAACGTTCGCTTTCACGCATCCATAACATCGATATTGTTTATATATGTATATGAGTAGATGCTTGAGTAACCGATACTCGTACTCGTTCTAGTTGGCTGACGAGTATACCAATTTTTTTCGTGTCAATATTATTTTTTTTGTTGCTGGAATCAACCGAAAGGCCAAGACTTTTGTGAACATTTAAATAAAAAGCATTAATTTAATCAATCACGATGGATGTGGCGAGGACATACTCCATACACACGCTGTGTCGCATATGCCTGAATCTCCTGGAAAACGATGCTGCCTACGATTTGTATCTGGTGCCAGACCTTGCCAAAAAGCTATGTCTGTGCACCTCGCTGTCTGTGGAACAAAACGATGGCTTTCCGAAGAACCTTTGCACCAGTTGCTACACGCGGCTCAACGATATGCATGAATTTCAAAAGATGTGTGTAGACTCTGTGCAAAAGTTTCAGGATATGGTCGCCAGCAACGCCTTCACTTGTCAGTCGAACTTCGATGTCCTGGATCCATGCGTGTCAACAAATGACTTACCCGAGGACGAGGACCACATTAACTTTGATCCACTGTTGAACCACAAGATGGAACTAATTGAAAACGAGGAGGATGTATTCAAGATGCTTGAAGATGTGGACAAGGAGGCCGAGGAGGTGGAAAAGGAAGTTAAAGAGGATACAAAAGAAATCAAGGAACCCATCCCAGTAAACATGTTTAACGAGGACTCGTCTTCCATCGAAAGCGGCAACGACAACGACCTGGATGTAGACTTTGAGCCAAACAGCAGCGACGACGACATTCCCCTAGCCCAGCGCATGCGAGGCAAAACCAAGAGCACCAGAGCAGCCAAGTCGAAACCCAAAAAGAAAGCTGCTGATGATGCCGAGGAAGACAATGATTTCACTTCTTCTTCCAGCTCAGACGACGACTATGAAGACGATGGTGATTCGAGCACGAGGCAAGGCTCGAAGGAGAAGCCAAAGCGCAAGCGCATTCCTGCTTCTGAGCGGCACCTGCATCGCATCATTGACTGTCACATTTGCCATCAGAAATTCAAGAAGGCAATCCGCTACGAAGAGCACATGAAGTACCACAACGATCTATTGCCATTCCAGTGCAAGGTTGAGTCTTGCAAGAAGGGCTTCACCACCGCCAATGGGCTGCGCATACACGTGGACCACGCGCATACCGAGCTCTCCGAAGTGCACGCCTGCAGTGTCGAGGGCTGCGGCAAGACATTCCCACGCATTCGCCTGCTCACCTTCCATATGAAGAAGGCGCACAATATTTCCAAGTCGGCGGCTCCATTGCGCGACTTCCCCTGCACAGAGTGCAACACCGTATTCCGTTGCCCGACGGCGCTCAAGAAGCACATGTACAAGCACACAGGCGAGGAGCTTCCGTATCCATGCAACATATGCGGCAAGCGCTTCGTAATCAACAGCGCACTCAGGGATCATTTGATGCGGCATGCGGGCATCAAGAACCATGTCTGTCCATACTGCGGCGTGGGCAAGACTACTCGCCAGGAATGGAACGCTCACATTCTCACGCACACCAAGGAGAAGAAGTTCAAGTGCCGCCAGTGCGATCACGCCTCCCACAACAAACAGGCTCTGTCCAATCATGTCAAGGTTGTTCACATGAAGATCAAAAACTTCGCCTGCCAATACTGTGGCAAGACCTTTGGCAAATCGCACGCCTGCAAAGTGCATGAGCGGACGCACACGGGCGAGAAGTGTTGCGAGTGCAAGATCTGTGGCAAGATCTTCCTGTGCGAGAAGAGCCTCACGAAGCATTTGAAGACACATGAGAAACGCGATCTACCGCCAATGGAAACGCACCGTCCGCTTAACATTCTGGCTGGCCAAATGCAGCCCGATGGAATGATGCCACCCAATGTGACAGACGATCTGCTGAAGGCGTGTGGCGGCGGGAACGCGGCAGCAGCAGGAGCAGATGCAGCTGCAGCTAAACCTAAAAACTCTCGGCGCGTTCAGCGTGTGGACATATCTCAGTTGGCGGGAACCGCTGTCAACCCCATACCATCGGTGTCGGTGCCATCGTGGTCGCCGCAGGTGAACTTCACTAAAAAGGAGGGCCAGCACATATGTCCCGGCTGTGGCCGAGGCTTCAACAATATTGGCAATATGAAACTTCATTACAAGATCATTCACGAGAAGGTGAAGGATTTCGCCTGTCGCTTCTGTCCCAAACGTTTCTCAAAGGCCCAAATCTTGCGGCATCACGAATGGATCCACACCGGCGAGAAGCCGTTCGAGTGCAAGATATGCGGTAAACACTTCCGGCAGGAGACGGCACTGAAGAAGCATATTAAGACAC